AACGTATGACCGAGAAGCAAAGGGTGGGGCGACGAACGGAGAGATGTAACAATACCGGTTGATAAACAAACGGTTGACTATGATCAACCGGGACGACGTACGGACAAAAGTGCATTGAGTGACACGGCGCGTAAGAAGCGCGTGGCATGTGAACGATGCAAAAAGTCAAACACTGGGCGCGGAATTGGTTGAGTGAAACAGTCAAAGGGGGCTGGGGAAGCGGTGTAACGTGGAGATACTGTGACCGAATAGATTGAAGGTGACGACTGAAAAGTAGAAAACTATGTGAACTCCAACAGGTATCTTCATATGGGCATCCTACGGATGCAACGTAATCATTGTACCCCACATGACTTACTGCTCCGAATCCTCAAGTTTTGATCCATTAAACACGGTTTCTCTGATCCAGTTGTGCTTGACACACGTTGATGTTGAACACAGGTTAAATCAGATTGCCTATCATTATCTCAACTCCATTCGATCATCCACTTTTTTGTCTCATGGTTTTAACTTGTTTAGGTACGCTGGTCTACATTGCAAATTGCTCATAGGCTATGCTAAAGGAGCAGAATATGCCCCGGGAATGCACTTCTCTGGTCGTCAAGGTCAACACTCATGGAATGCAGTACTGGTGGATAAAGTCTGGCGTCTGGTTGATTGTCACTGGGCTGCTCGACGTCTTATTGGTAAACGTCCGAGCCCCGAAAACGTTCGTTATGGATTGGATATGTTCTACTTCTTGGCCAATCCCGGACAACTTATCTATACACATTTCCCACATGACTCTGATTGGCAATTGTTGCGCCATCCTATCTCGCTGAAAGTAAGCCTGCATATTGCTTGAATGTTTGTAAGCACAGCTAGACTAAGTTAATTCGACTGATGGACAAGCATGTAACTGTCTGCGGTTGTGCGTTTTGACCGGTTGAACTTTTCACAATGCACTTTCTCATTGTGCTAAGTTCGAATGACTGTGGCACCATGTGTCCGATAATCTTGGAAAGTATTGCCTTATCATTTATTGGCTTTTAATAAACTCCCCATCACAATCGGAGGTTTTGCAAACAGTCGGTTCTCTTTCAGGGTTTCGAAATTGCACAATTCTTCGTTTAACCTCCGTGTCATCAATAAAATGAAAACTGACATCTTTTTCTCTAATATGATCTACTATTCCTCTCTCTCGTAATGTATTTCTCCCCTAGGAATTCGAAAACCTGGCTCCTGTTAAATCCGCTTTCTTCAAATATAATCTGAATTTGGTCACACACCGGAATGCGGTCATTGTGACCACAGAACCAGAAGTTCGTGTGGAAATTTCGTTCCCGGCCGGAGCTGACCAGTACATGTCATTCACATTTGGTCTTTCCATTGACAACAAGGAAGGCAGTGAGGACTATCGGGGTTTACCTTTGAGGTTAGTTTTTTCCCTCTTTCTCGCGGAATTTCAGGTCACTTTATTGGACCTTTTTCGGTATGTGTGGTGAATGTATGCGATTGAAAAACTTGGCATTGCATGTTTGAAAATGGTCATTGTTTCGGGCTGATGCTACATCCTTGTCATGTGGATGGCCACCACGTTAGGCATGGGAATCATTTCATCTGTTGGTGGCAGCACGGGTTTCGCTGCGATTGTCTGGAAAACAAGTACCAGGTAAGAAGAAATACCCTAGCACTGAACTGAATTTGGTTTTCTACAATTTGCTCGCTAAACGAATTTATTTTCCTCGGGTTACTTGTTGTATTTCTGTTTTCCACACAGGTGCTGTCCATACATTTACTATTGCATTTAGCCACAGAAAGTGGGACAACACGGTATTTGGTCGTTCCGGATCCCTAATTTCTTCTGTGATGCTTTTGCCGGAGTGTGATCCTACAGTATCTCCCATTCAAAAGTGTTATTGATTAGCTAACTGGAGGAAACGGTGGGAATGGGAGCGACTGGGACCGATTAGTACTGGATGTGGGTTTTCACCCCACACTTAGCATTTCCGTAATGTCGGTTCTCGCATCTAGCAACAACTCGGCTTTTCGACACCCATTTCACTCCTCCCCCCACTCCAAAGCTGTCAGTGTGTCAGCAACCGAAACCACATCTCGGTTTCCTTTAGCGAATTCTCAAGTTTTTTCTATCGCTTCACTTTTTCCATGATTGAACCTTCAACCGATCCCATTCTAACCAACTTGTCAGACAAACGCGCGATGACGGCACCTTATCGATCTAACACTTGTGTTGTAACCTTTGTTTCGGTATAGTCATGTTTTTATCATGATTTGTGGTTGATCCGCAGCCAAAGGGTCCCTGGGTTTGTATCACAAAGGTTGCCGATAATGTGGTTCCGTGCACCCGTCACTTATTGAGCTCTAACTCATTCGCCCTGAATACCATCCCTTGTGGGCTCTTTAGTTCCGACTTTTCTGGTTTCACTAATTTGTTTTCCCTATGTGCTCTTCATAACAACTATCACTACTCAGGTCATTAGTGGAGCGCTCCGAACCATACTACGGTTCACCTTCCACGTGTCACTCCTGTGATTACGCCCCCTCCCCTAAGGTGGGCCATCACCATTGTTAGCGGTTGCCGTTACTGTCATTGTTCTCATCGCGTACCGGAGTGCGCGTGGAGAAAACAGTTTATTTGTGTGTGTGCTTCTGGACTCTGGTTGGCTCTGTGCATCGCTGAATGTACAACACGTGCTTTATAGCTTTGTTTGATATCCCTGTATATCGATGAAGTGCCCATCAAGGTTATTCCACGTCTGGTGGCGTATCGTACACGTTTCACTGACGAAATCACAATCAATTTCATGGTCAGGCGGCCTTTCAAATAGGGGTTTATTAGTTCGCATTGGTGTAGAACACAACTAACTCGGCGTGGTTGTGCTAAAAGAAAATATTGGTCACATTAATCACACCCCAACGCGGCCCATTCATCAACCAACCGGTTAAAAATTTATTGGAGTTAGCGCCAGTGGAATGACAATGCTAGTCATGTGTTAAGAGAGGAGGTGGGCCAACAGCGCACCAGTTTGTAGATCGGTCACTGAACATGTTTGTGTAGTGTGTGAATATGTACAGTTGCAATAAAAATAACCGTTATCCGGACTGTTTTGCTAGTGTCGTATTCTCATTCATTCCAATGCAAAAAAAACAAAATTATCATTACAATATATTTGAGAATGCTGAAAAACCTAATTGACTGTTGTGACATATTTGCCCCTGAGGTCAAAGTTTGCTCACTTTCTCTGCTTCAGCCGATATGGTCGACAGGAAATTTCAGTACGACAAAACAAATCTATATTCTATGTTCGACCACCTCGTCCGGGTGCGTATAAACTGTTGATCTATGCGAAGCATCAGGGTGCATCCCATCGCACGTCACAATCCGATAACGGACGGATAACAGATTACGGAAGCGATACGAACTCGGAAAACATGTACGGTGCAGTGTGTGAGTACCGATTGGTGGCCAATTTCGGTCCAAACACTTCACTTCCGCCCTATCCACCCTGTCAATCGTCCAGCTACGGTCCAAATGAGGTCAGTCTGATTTGCTAAATTGTTTCCGCACGTATCGACGTTATCATCACCGTCGTGGCTTGCTTCACTTTTTCTAGGCCGTTCTTTCTTTGTGATTTGCACGATTCTCGCCTCTTTGTTTGCGTTCTACCGGTGATGAGGTCACACTGTCGATCATCGGACGTGCTCCTGATAGTCATACCAAAAAGATGGAGACATCTGTACAACTGTGTCAACACTAAGTTCTTCATCAATCAGCTCTGTTCTGTATTTCTCTCACGGGATTGGTTAATTTATCATAAACCTTAGTGTGGGACAAACAGAAAAAGAGATATATCCCACTAGAACAGGAAGTTTATAGGAACAGGAAAAAACGAAGGCCTGAGACTTAGAGTGTCGGACTAAACAAGGGCCTCATGGGGCAGGTGGTACGATGGTGAAACTGTCTACAACCAACTTAGTAATAATTGACATGCAGGGCAGCGATGGGAAGATCGATAAATCCGGGCGAGTTGAATCAATATTACTTTCGAGTGATGGAATTCGGTTGAGTGCTCAGCTTTTTTATCATCAATGGGGCGTGTTTTCATGTCGATCATGTATAGCATAGCATTCCAGGTAGCAAAAGGTGTGGTAACTACCAGAGTAACAAACGCAATGAATGACGCAACCACATCCATTAAGTCGGAACTCCTTCACTGGATTGTACTTATCGATTTTTATGATTCAGACTGTCTAATAGCAACACCGAATACCTAATCTTCAGTAGATTGTAAACAATGAAAACTTCTCGATCCCAGTGGGCTCTTGTGAACACAGTTTTCAGTTTCAATTTGTACAACCATTAACCATGCACTTTCGTGCGCCGGTCCTGGTTGCTGTCTTTTGGTTGCCCATTTGGATGAAGAATGGGAGAAGAAAGGAAATTTGAAAGTAGAGTCGAACAGAAAATGGAGAAGTTTAGTGGTCTAAGGTCGCAAAGAAATTGAGGAGATGCACGAATGCCACTTTTTGCAACACCCAGCCATATCACTCAGTTTCTCTAACCATCGGTTACGATCATCCCGAGGTCCCCAACCAGGGAGCCTAACGGGACCTATGTGACCCAGTCTCCTGGTTAGGGTTTTCAGGGTTATCAGACCGTCGTTCTAGGTCTTAGCTTACCCACCCACCCGGTGTCTGCTTCGGCGAACATCGCTCGCCGTGGTAACCTATCTGGTGGCATGCTTAACACATGTCCCAACCAGAGTAATCAATGGAGATCCAGTGGGCGATCGCCGATACCCAAAACTCCT